CTGGTCAAAGGGGCGTGGCCTCATTTAAAGGGACAGAGCAGGTGTTAAAAGAGGGCGTGGCGTGATTTAAAGGCACAGTGTTGCTGTTTTAAGGGGCGTGGCCTGATTTAAAGGCACAGCACTGCCATTACAAGGGGCGTGGCCTCATTTAAAGGCACAGCACTGCTATTTCAAGGGGCGTGGCCTGATTTAAAGCCACAGCGCTGCCATTACAGGGGGCGTGGCCTCATTTAAAGCCACAGCACTGCCATTACAGGGGGCGTGGCCTCATTTAAAGTCACAGTGCTGCTTCTCAAGGGGCGTGGTCACATTTAAAGGCACAGTGCTCCTGCTTTAAGGGGCGTGGCCTTATTAAAAGCCACAGCACTGCCATTACAAGGGGCGTGGCCTCATTTAAAGGCACAGCACTGCCATTACAAGGGGCGTGGCCTCATTTAAAGGCACAGTACTGCTGTTTTAAGGGGCGTGGCCTCATTTAATGGCACAATACTGCCATTAAAAGGGGCGTGGCCTCATTTAAAGGCACAGTGCTGCTGCTTTAAGGGGCGTGGTCTCATCTAAAGGCACAGTACTGCTGTTTTAAGGGGTGTGGCCTAATTTAAAGCCACAGCGCTGCCATTACAGGGGGCGTGGCCTCATTTAAAGCCACAGCACTGCCATTACAGGGGGCGTGGCCTCATTTAAAGGCACAGAGCCAGTGCTAAAAGGGGGTGAGGTCACATTTAAAGGCACAGCACTGCTGTTTTAAGGGGCGTGGCCTCATTTAAAGGGACAGACCAGGTGTTAAAAGGGGGCGTGGCCTCATTAAAAGGCACAGTACTGCTATTTCAAGGGGCGTGGCCTCATTTAAAGGCACAGAGCCAGTGCTAAAAGGGGGTGAGGTCACATTTAAAGGCACAGTACTGCTGTTTTGAGAGGCGTGGCCTCATTTAAAGGCACAGTACTGCTGTTTTAAGGGGCGTGGCCTCATTTAAAGCCACAGCACTCCCAAACCAGCCCCCTCCCCACCCCCCCCAGCCCATACCTGTCCCCGGGGGTCCCTCGCTGTGCGCCCCCCGCGCTCTCCGCGCGTCCCAGGAGCGCAGCACCAGCTGCCTCTCCCGGGGTCCCCAGGCCCCGGAATAGGGGTGCTTCTGCAGGATGTGGCGTTTGATGGTGCTGAGTTTGAGCGTGGCCAGSCCGCTGCCGCACACCAGGCAGCGCATCCCGTGCCGCGCCGCGTTGAATTCCATCAGGTACTCGGAGCGCCAGCGCTCGTGGTAATAACGGCGGTGATCGCGGCCCGGGACGCGGCTCCGGCCCGGCCGAGACGCCCGAAACTCCCGGGGAACCTCCCGGGGAACCTCCCGGGGCTGCTCTCGGCCTTGCTGGGGCTTCTTCTGGAGCTCCCAGGGCT